CGGACCGCAGGGACTCGGCCTCGCCCGGCGCCGCCGGCGGCCTCGACCCCCTGGACTCTGCGCGCTCGCGCCTCTCGTCCAACTTGTGACCTTCGCCGTGCCGCCCCGCGGGCCCAGGCGGGCCGGGGGCGGGGCCGTCATCCACACCAAAGCCATGCCATCGCGCGCTGCCCCGGCCGTCGTCGGCCGCCCGCCCCAGAAGCCATAGAGGAGTCCTAGGTAGTTGTAGTCGGACGGGCGGGCCGGGGTGGCGCGACAGCCCCCTCCGAGCCCCCGCCGTGCCCTTCATCGCCCCGCGCCCACCCACATCGTCCTTGCCCCCGGCGGCGGCCTCGCCTGAGTGCGTGCGAGGGGGCCCCCCCTTCACCTCGGTGCCTCAGTTCCCCCCAACTGTGAAGCGGGGACGGGGACGGCCCCGTGGCCGAAAGGAGATGGCTGTGGAGTCCTGCCCGCCCCCACCCTCGTAGGTGGCCCGTCCGATGAGGATTCTGTTTTTTAAGTGCAATACTTGGCCCGCCGGCTTCCCGCTGCCCCCATCGCGCTCACGCAATAACCGGCCCGGCCCCCCCACCCCACCCTCTCCCCGACCCCGTCCGCGCGCGCGGCCCGCGGTGACCTCCCCCCTCCCCCGCCCCCTCCGGCGCCCAGGGGCGGGCAGTCCTGGCTGCGCCCGGGCGCGGGGGTCGGAGGTGAGGCCGGGCCGCCGCCGTGATGAATGTACCGACGGGCCGAGGCAGCAGCGCCCCCACCGCGCTCCACGCCCCTAACCCCCACACCCCCATTCCGCGCAATAAACGACAGCATTGGCGTCCAGCCTGTCGGCCTCTGACTGCTTGGTGCCGGGGCCCAGCTGCTTGGGTGCCCCGAGACCGGCGGGAGACGCTCGACCCCATGGGTGGCAACAGCTTTATTTACACTATGGTACAGGGCGGGCGGCTGTGCGGCGTCAGCTGAAGAAGTAAGTGGAGTGCTTCACCTGCTTCAGGTCGAAGGCCCCTGTGGAGCAGAGGGCCCAGCCGAGACCTTGCGGCGGGGCCCCGGGCGACACCTCCCGCGCCCCCCGCCCTCGGAACGCTCAGGGTGTCGGGCCCTACCTGTCTTAGGCACCGACTTCAGCGTGTCCTGGAGCTTGCCAGTCCGCATGCTCTTCAAGTGCTGTGGGGACCTGAGGCGGAGGGCAGGGTGGGCGTGAGGCCCAGTGGGGCAGGGAGGGGTGGTCCCGGCCGCACTGGGGGAGGGGGCGCTAAACCTGGAGCCAGAGCAGAATCGCTTCATCAGGAACCTGGACAGGTTGTGCAGGATGGGCTGGCTGTGCAGGCGGACAAACTGCTCCCGGCATACCTGGGGGCAGGTTGGGGGGGGGGGGGGCGGGGGGAAGGGGGACGGGGGCCGGGGGGGGGGGGGCTGGGGCAGGGGAGGGCGGAGCTTCCCAGGTCCCGCCCCAACCCGGGAACTGACGGCTAGACTGAGGCTGCCGGTGCCTGGTGCTACGGGGCAAGGGCGTGGGGTCAAGGGGACCCGCTGCCCTCTGAGGGGGGCCGGGTGTGGGCGCAGGGCGGGCAGCACCTGGTTCATGACCTCCACATCAGCCGCGTGGGTCCAGAAGCAGTCGTGCACGGAGACAAAGGTCAGGCCTTTCCTGCGGTGGCAGTCGGGGTCTCCCGTGAGGGGGGCTGCCCCTCCAGGGCCACTCCCCCCTCTGCTCCTTCCCATCCTCACCTCAAGCCCCCTCCCCCGGTGGGACCCGGCTCCCCACCGGTCAGCTCACCTGTTCATGGTCCCGCCTCACACCCTTTTCACACCTCCTGACCCCCCGTGTCCCAGCCACTGACTGTTTGCCAGTCTTGTTAATACTGGGAAATGGTTCTCCTCTTAGTAAGAAAACTCTGTCCCGTGTCACTGCCCCCCCCCCCGCCAGCCCCAGTTGCCACAGCCAATACTGTCCCCCCACCCATCACTGCAGGGCTCCGTCCCAGG